AGTGGGTGTATTTTGTCGTTTAGTTCACAGTTTCTTGTCGTTATGCTGTTTCTCCTTACTCTTGATAATCTGTGATGGCCACTCACTACTGGATGAATCATTCCTGTCGTCTGCCTTGAACTCGAATTCATCGCCGTAATCATCACTGGCAGCAACATCAGCTTACAACACTTGCTTCAGCGCCTCAAAACCAAATCAGTTTATCTAAGAAATGCCAGGTCAGTAAAAGAATAGAGTTGCGATAACACGAGATGTTTGCGTGTCCAGCTTTCAGCCAGACACTGTGTTTAACTACTAACAGCATGAAGGCGACTGTCATGGATTAGTCAACTTATCTCCCAGTGTTTTCAGCCAAGCACACAGACGGTTACATGGGTCCCACACCGGAAGGCCTACAACACTCGGACTTTTCGTGGTGTCATTCTCTCCTACCAGGTCATATTCCGTCCACTCCTAATTAGGCACATAAAACAGCACTGTCTTCTGTAGTTGACAGCTCGGCATGCGTAAAACATGACCGAGACATCGTAGCTGCTCAGCTGAATTACTTGCTGGCCCACCAAACACCCGTTTTCTGATCACCGCATTACGAAATCTATAGGTCCAGCCTATTTGAGCTATATTTCTGGATGCATCGGTGGTTAGTTCTCTTCGTTGAAATCCACACCTTCACCAGATGGTCGGGTTTGTTTGCTTGCGCAATTCAAAGTACATCACCAGAGCCGTGTGATGTCCACTTACTGGACCCAAGCAAAGACGAATTAACATTGTTGCCCATTTCGCAGGAACGAAAAGCTTTCGTTTACCCGTTCTGTAATATTTCTGTCCGTCTTATCTATTATGTTGGTAGCCATTCAGTTTGGAGGTGCCCAAGCCGCTGCTCGCTGGTTTCCCACTAAGCTCATCTTTAGGCGGACTTTGTTCCACCCCGTTCAGTCCATTTGATCGTTATATGCACGTTGTGTTATCGGCCTTTATCCAAAGGTCTTCTGACTTACCGCCATTGGGTTTCCTCAAACACAACTTACAGGATTCGGTTAACCCAAATATGACGGGACGTACTGATCAGTGCACCACTGTGGCCTTATGGCTTCACTGTTAAAGCGGCTCATTTCGGTTCCAGGACAAGACGGCTGTACAAAGATCTCTCTAGTTTCAAGGCGTATTTATTTTCTAATAATCGTGCAACCAAACACGTTACCTCCACACATCACAATCACAGCAGGTGACAAATTGCCCCTCCAAGTGTCGGTAGTAGTATCAGTAACGTCAGAAATTCAACACGACATTCGATGTGTAAGTCAAAGTCAGTGATAAATGATATCACCGCTAATATATTTTCCCCATACCTTTTCAAACCTATCCTCACCATATCAGGTACTCTACAGGTCGGACAACTGGCGTAGTTTTGGATTCCGGTGATGGTGTCACGCATGCAGTGCCAATCTACGAAGGTTACGCCCTTCCACATGCCATCGAGCGAACTGATTTGGCCGGACGTGATGTGACCCGTTTTCTCCGATTACTGCTTCGCAAAGAGGGTGCGGACTTCCATACCAGTTCCGAGTTTGAAATCGTCCGGCAGATTAAGGTGAGGCGTCCTAAGTTAGCTTCTCTGTTCGTATATTCGTTTCTGTTTAGCTCTCCGTATTCCCAGTTTTGGGGTTATCAAGTTACATCCGCGCTTCATTGCACTAAAGGTGGGGGCGGCTGGGGGTCTGTGCAACTCCTGGAGCAGTTGGCTCTTCACCGCTGAAATGTTTCATATTTTACTGCTGTGCTCAACCCGTCACGAAGAGACTGGACATTACCGTGGTGTGGCGGTTTGTGTACCTCGGAGACCCATTGAGCTATACTGGGGGTGTCCGCGCGACACTCGCAGAGTCTCTCATACCAGGTTGGTTAATGATTAGAGGTCTGACGAACACAGTCTCCTGGCCCTCCAGGAAAAGGTAATGCATTTGCATTTCCCCGCCAAACACCGCTGCCTTGCGGTTAGGCTTTTGAGCCAAAGGCTTTGGTTGAGGACCCTAATCGTCTTCCTGTCTAGGTGTGGGCGCCCTGGCAGTATCCCAGTCCACGTACAACCATGAATTGCACATATACAAATAAACTCATGCCACATCGTCATGGTTGTACGGCAGTGAAGCATCGGTGTTGAACACTGATGTCATGCTGTCTATGATGATGATGCTGTGCTGAATAACGCAGCAATGTGCATCACACATTTATACAACCAAACACACTCTTCCTACTGCCAGATAGAATGAGTAAAACTAAGGGTCTGGCCAACTATACGGACGCACCCCATCTCCTTGCCGGACACAATATTTGCATTCGATGCTCACTTGAAATGCTACCCTGAGCAGACAGAAGATCACTGTGTTGTGCATAGTTTTACTGACCATGTTTTATTCACTGAAGAGTCGTTTTCGACCAAATTCTGCGCACATTTTCACAGCTAAATGGGGTGGAAGATTTTGCGATCATCTTATAGTGTATGTTTTTTTGGAACACAGCAGCAGTCATGGTCAACGGTGTCAATGCAATTCCCTTAATCCCGCCTTGTTGCATACCCCATCTGTCAGTAAAATTTTCTCACTCGGATTTTCACTCAATCACACCGATTCCTTCAGTTGTGCAATCACGCAGAAATTTACGGGTGCATCATCAGCTCTACATTTGGTGACCACCTGTTTTACAAATCCATTTTTCACTTTCGCTGCGCATCGTAAAGCACAGAGTTCGAATGATCTCTATAGTTTCTGCATTTTTCAATTCATAGATTCGCTGTTAGCCCCGCCCGATATTTGGGGCTGCGGCATGTGGGGAAGTTCTCGGATTGTTTCCGGCGTCAAGCGTGGTGCTATTCACTCCTTGTGAGGCTTCAAAGCTGTCCATTTTCTATCCGCTTTGCAACATGAGTTATTGATCGCTCTGTCTCACAACAACTATTCTTGTGTGCAATTTCTGAACAAGCAAACAAATTGCGTGTTGCTTCTTTCACATGAGCTCAAACGATCGATGAAGCCTCACTACTTGGCTTGCAACAACATGCTTTGGCAAGAAGGGCACATGGCATATTTACTTCGACTACCGTTAGAGGTGTACATATAATGTGTATCTGTCGAGTAAACTGGTCACTTTAGATTTCCTCTTGCTTTGGGTCACGGTTTAGATGATTCTCGAGGAGAGACATGGGTATGAATTCACGTGCTTTGTTACAACCTATCCGGTATCCACTATTTCGTCTTCAACTTCCTACTCTTTCTTTCAAGGAACGGGCTTGCTTCATTACACTAAATCCGGGAAAAGTGGAAGCTATTGAGGCCGTGGTATCATATCCCCTCCCAGACGGTTCCACTTTAGAAATCGGCCCAGCACGATTCCGGGCACCCGAACTCCTCTTTCGCCCGGACTTAATCGGAGAGGAATTCTTCGGTATACATCAGGTGAGAGCCAGGAGCTTACTAAGCAGGAGAGTGCGATTTTTTACTTTCTTTTTATTCACAACTCAGCTTCTACTTCAAATCACTGTAATCCTTATGAGTATATGTTGCATCCACCTAGTAGGATCTATTCTATTGGCTGAATCGTATTGCGTTCGGATTAACTCCTAGGAGAAACGATATGGTTGCATTCTCTCCGGTATTTCGATGCCTTGGTTAATTGCTTTGTTTTGTGCTGGCTGACTCCCACTGGGAGCTAAGGCGGTTTAACTAACATGACGGATTACAGCCACTCATACTTGGACGACCTGCAGCAAGAATTACATAAGCGAATAACTTTTCTTGTTTCGAACGTCAGATTCTGTAGATGCGCTGGAGACCGTAATGCTAAAAATCTGATTTCACCACAGACGGTCTGGTCTTCCTTTGCCCTTCTCCCTCGGTAACAACGCGATCCTCGGCACAGGTATGGGTTAGGAGACTCCCACACAAGCTCGTCATCCGATTTGGACCCAGTTGCTCATTGCGTGCAGCTAGCCTTTGTACGTTGGAATACTGCCGTTTTGACTGAACCTCCTAGTTTTGGATATAATCCTTCGACACCATTTATGGAGCTCCTCTTGTTTTATGAAGGGCAAACTGTGGTTGATCTTGAGAAATATGCCCGTTGCCTGTTCGTGAATAGTACTCATCAGGTGGATGTAGGAGCTTCAGTTGCGTGCCGCATCGATTCACAGTCTCGCCGTTTACCTCAGCGCCACGTCAGTAGTTGTTTTTTGGTTAGGCCCTTTGGATGGTATTTGTAGGGAAGACTGACCACTTGAGATCATTCACGTCGTATTCCCAACTTTTCGCAACTATGAAAATCAATACTGACATCAATCTTCCTCGATGTTTCCACTTTCTAGTGGGAGTATAGTATCAATGTTTGTTCTTTCTGGTACTGAGATAAATCAGGACTACTGCCTGACTTTTAGGCGTCATCAGGATTTCCAAAATACCCTAATACAAGAGCTTTACTACGTGATAACTTCTACACCATTTTTATAGACCCCTGCACCATGGTGACCATTTCTCGTATCCCTTTAGTAGTACAGGGTGGGTAAATGCTTGACAGACTCGGAGTTTGGTTCTGAGAATAATCTGCTACCTACAGTCTAAGGTATCGCTCATAGAAACGCTATTCTGGCATCATCATTTCGTACCCCAGCCTTTCGTTTGAAGGTTCAGTACATTGGGACCGAGATATCTAAAGGCTCAGGCTGTGTACATAGTGATCAGCTGTAGTTGGTGATGGAGTCCTTCGTTTTGAATCACTTTACATACTCAGCCATCGCCTTGGCCAAAACTTGCGATTCGTTTCATTACATCTGTGGAGAAAATTAGCCATGGGCTCAAAATTACGTGCTCGAAAGATGTGACAACCAAGCAATTCTACCAACAATCCGGCAAACTTCTCGCATAATAATAAAACGGGACAACGCGCAAGAATATAGAGAAGCACGAACTACATTGAATTTAGCCTTCGAACAGGGCTGAAAACCGTACTCAACTTGTGTTCTGCAACCCTAATTGAAACAAGGAAACCCACATCTCCAGGTCGACAGTTTGATACAATTTGGAGAATCCTGAGTTAGCTATCAGTTTGCCGCCTAAGAAATGATTGAGAGAAGTGGTGACCAGAAAGGCGTTCAAGAAATGGAAAAGCTATTAGAAATTTACACTTGCCAATGGACCGAGAAGACCTTCATCCAGTGACATCAGTACGGGAATTATGTGTACACCATCCGAACAAGGTAGACCATTTTGGCCATAAATGGATCATGCAATTCTCCTTCAGTTATAACGGAAGGCGTGTTTCGCCTTACGTAACCTAGCTACCAAATGGTCTGTAAATAATTTGAACTCCTGTTACTATTCGCATTTGGGTTAGCTCGTGTGGAGAAAGAGAGACGAGCGTAGTTGGGTTCTGGGTTAGAGTGGCTAAAATGACCACTGGTGTTTTTCTATAGAAAGTGCCTTTTCTGAAGTACGTTTGGACATTCGCTCCACCTTCCTACACCGGCGTTCCTTCTTTGTAATCTATTTTTTCTTCCATGTAGGTTTTGGCCTATGCTATTCAGAAATCAGACATGGATTTGCGGCGTCTCTTATACGAGAATATTGTGCTTTCGGGAGGATCCACTCTCTTCAAAGGTGAGTTAATTTTGGTAACAACAGTTTCGTATTGTCAGCGATGCTACATGTGAACCGCCCACACTACTTTCCGGGTGGGTGTCACTGTCCAGCCTGTGTTGTTTCTCTTCCGTTCGAACACTGAACAGCAGATAGTTGAAGTAATCTGCTGACCGTGGTCCACCGTCATAAAGTTAATCAAAGTTTATTTTCACGCCTTCGTTGCTGAAACAGCAGTCTTCAGGTTTTCACGATGGCGGTCAGTCTGTTCTTCCTGCTTAAACTTTGCTAAGGTGCTTGCTGACATCAGGTTCGTGCAATAAAATAGCAGCGGTATCAATAATACCTAGTCTAACTGGTGTATTCCACACTATATTAGTCCCACAGTCAAATAGGCCCTTTCGGTGCCACCCAAAAGAAAAAATAAGGGTCGAGGTGCTCGAGGTTGGGTTCGAACAAGGGCGTTCCGGTCAGTGAGTTCGCCCTTCAACCCTAGACCATTTCGAGCGCAAGGTCTCCAGGTTATATCAGCCAAAACACTTTTCATCACAATGATTGTAGTTACAGTGCCTTTACTGGCATATTTACTATCCGTTGAGGTGAAATCAAGTACCGGTGGAACGTAATACCACTAAGTGATTCACCAGCTTAAATCCATGGCAGCCTAAAACAGCTGGGCAAGTCCAATTTTTAGTCTGACCCGTTTTCAGTGATTAACTGAACTCTTCTGGCCTAACTTACATTGTATGTCCTCTTCGGACATTCGCCGTTGTTCCTTTACCTAATTCCTCTGTCCTTTGCTCAGATTGTGTTTTCCATTGTCTCAAATTTTGCGTTTTTCACCTCTGCGTTAAAGGTTTTGGCGACCGTTTGGTATTGGAAATGAAGCGAATGGCTCCCAAGGATGCTCGTCTTCGAATATCAGCTCCACAGGAACGTCTTTATTCCACTTGGATTGGTGGTTCTATCCTGGCATCTCTAGACACGTTCAAACGTATGTGGATTTCCAAACGGGAGTACGAGAGCGAAGGCTCTCGCGTACTTCATCGGAAACTCTTTTGAAGTTCATTCCAAGGAAGACTACTCGTCCATCCCCACTCCGTTTCTCGCAATGCTCTCCCGCGGGCCCATTTCACAATCGCATATCGGTTTTCTGAACATAACATAACAGCCTTTCCTTTTTCAGCCCGTTCTCTTCTGGAAACAGCTAGTGGCAATGCTTTTGTCTTTGTGCAAGACATTGCGGACTCTGGAAATTGAAGGCCAGTCACTCAGCTGCAGATAGCACTGGGGTTCTTCAGTTCATCCTGTTCAAAACGAATCTAATAACCTTGTGACTAGTTCTTTCGTTCAGTAAGCCCCCTGACTCTGATCCCTTCGTATATATTTAGGATCTCGATACCGTCTTGACATATGGTGTTGCTAAAATTTGAGTGTATTTGAGTCAGTGAACGTAATTCAGGTCAGCATGTCATCCCGGTCGTTTTTATCCGTTCTCGCGGTTGTTCATCCTTGAAAGGTTTTGATTGGTGACTCTTTTCGAGACGCTAACTACACATTGGTCTTGGTGCCGATTTTCCTTATTGTCCACTATCGTGTTTTTCTTTTCACCTGTCGATGGGCTTTCTTCATGGTCATACAAACTGATCTGAATACGTGACCTTGGTTTCTATCTTCAGTGAATTTCCCTATAAAGTTTGTCATGCCTGTTAATGGAGGTAGGTAATACTGTAAGTGAGCGTCGCATTATCCAATACGGGGTTCGTTGCTCTCTCATTGCCCCTTCCGCTGCCAAAAACTTGTGTTGACTAGTAACAAGTAAGTGTGGTCCTTTGGGCAACTTAGTTCAAGTTATTGACTGGGGGCGGCTTCTTGCTTGCCCTTAAGTGCCCTCTGACGCCACTATGTTCATCGTGGAGAAAGGCGTTTATCGCATTTAAAACATTCTTTAGGCTTACATTTCCAATTCCAACCACCATCAGTGAGAGGAAAGCAAATCGAACGAGACTTCACCTTATGGTACCTTCGTTCGAAGAAAATATCTAGTGAGACTCTGTAAGAATAACCTTTGTGCATTTGAAGAATGCTTTATGGAGACACCATGCAATCGAGCACACATAAGCCAACCCCTCATATCCTTGGTTCCCCTCTGTGGTTGCGAGACCAGATCCTTGAGAGGTAAGGATCGTCAGCGTTGTAGGTTCTCGGTCACTAGTACCCGCGGAAGGTAGCCCTGTTTTGAGGTATGATTGTCTATGAAACGAAGTACGCAATTACTCCTATGTTATAGAGAGCACAGCGATTCAACGTCGTAAGATCCAGCAAGGTGTGCAGCATATAAGTAAAAAAAAACAGATCCTTCGATTGTCGCCGTGCTCAATAGTGAGGAAAACCGCTAGCTAGGTTTTAGGTTTTAGTGAGAAATCTCAGTGGTTAGAGCGCGAATTTACTGACCAGGAAGTCGCGGTTCGAACCCAACCTCTGCCCCTCGACCACCCTGCCTAGGCTTGGGCAACCTGGCAGTATCCCAGCCCTAGTGCAACCTTCGGGTGGCATGGCAGTTAGGCACAGAAAGGGTTCTGCGGCTGAACGATCCATCACTGAGCCATTAGTGGAAAGGTGAAACCCTGACTGTTCAGTTGTGTATATCGTACTATTCTGAACCACTGGAATATGGAATCGGAAAACGGAGGATACTGTTCATATAAACAGCGTGTCGTGACCGAAAAGATTAGTAAGACCCAAGTGTCCTGCATCAGTATGCTATCATTTCGCCACTTTTTGACATACCGATATCTATATGCATCTTGCAGTGCGTAAGCCCTTACTCAAAATTATTGTAATTGTTCACATTAGAAATAAACGGGATGCACAGAAAGAGCGGCCAGCTCCTGTTTTCAAACAACACGGCACGGGGGATTCACCTGAGGAACTTTCCGCTCACTGATTTAGTTTAGGCATCAGAATGGTATAGTCATCAGGAGATTTTGCAGGTTTATGATCTATCTTTTGTGTCCTGCCGTGTAGTCAAAAATACGATGTAAAAATTGCTCAAAAGGCTTGTCCATCTCCTCCTGTGCCATCGGCCATCGGTGGTTTTTTGGATAAAAATTTAGCACTGTTGCACTAATAGTGTCACTATATAACGGTGTATAGGGAGGGTGCTTTTAGTAGAGACCAATCGATTTTGTTGCGTAGCCTAAAATACTGATAAGTGAGTTATTGATCGTACCTATGGTAGGTCGTTATTACACACCTGTGTCCTAGCATTTCCCCTAGTTTAATAGGCCTTATTATTGATCGGACACTTAATCTGGTAAGGATATGTCGGGTGCTTGTAGGCATGAGGCAAACACTAGTTACGAGGCGGCTTTTCGTCCACGGTCAAAACGGATGCGACTTCACCAGGTAAAAACCATTCCTCTTCGACCGGAGTTTTTTTTACTGTTTGATCGAAAGACCGCAATTTTGAAGTAACCTGTAGCCATACATTCTTGTTGGAATTTCTGGAGAAACAGCAATACCAGTAGAGCCAAGGAGGACTATTCACACCCATACATGAGATTTGTAAATATATTCTGTGTATCTCGTTCCTGAAGAGAGTGTGAAATTTGCAAATTAGGAAAATGGCATACAAGTAACGGGCTCCCGCGTATGGTTGAACCGGCGTATACCAGCTATCAACCATTCACTTTGGGCACTGAACGGCCCGTGTGGTTATCCTATTTCGTGACTGGTAGCTTATTCGCACGTCTCAGGTATGTAGGAGATTCGAAGAAGCACTAGTGAAGAATCATGAACACTTGGTATGCCCGGAAAACTCGCGCCGAAACTTCGCGAATATGGGGTTGAACAGTGCGATCCAGATTCGGGTGACTGACCTGCTGGGTCATTAACTTCCATCTAGACATGAGGTAGCACACACCATCCTTTAGTCACAGAGCCCACGTAACTTGATTTGTTTTTAACGGATTCTAGTGGCAACCTTCCGGGGGAAGACTCAGTCTGGTGTTTTCCTCTCTAATCAGTATTAGTTGGACGGATAAGTCGAGGCGGGAGTTAGTTACGCATGCGTGATTGATGGAATTGTTCTTCAAAAATCGGCTTTTTGCATCGGTTTTTGCTTGCAACGGTTGAAACCTTGAGGTGGAAATCATTAGGTGTGTGCACTAAACGTGTCATTTGTTGGTAACTGAATTAAGTAAAACACGATTTTCGACCGGTGTTTTTGGACTTATTGCTAGGCTATTAATTAATTTGCAATAAGAAAACCGAAAAGTGGATGTTAGCTCTACGGAGCTTCGCTAACTTGAGATGATGATTTATCTTGTTGAAAAAGGGCAAGAAGGTAAGGGGGTGTTCTCAGGCTTACACCTCCGAAACTGGGGGCGAGATGGCCCAAGTGGTTAGAGCGCGAATTTACTAACCGGAAGGTCCGCGGTTCGAATCCGCCCTCCGCCACTCGACTTCCCCTGTCTAGGCTTAGGCAACCTGGCAGTATCCCAGCCCTCGTGCTTCCTTCGGGTGGCATGGCAGGTAGGCACCGGAAGGGTGCTACGGCTGAACGCTTTACACCTCCGAAACTAATAAGACAATCTGGGTAAGAACTGCCAACAGAAACGTCATTGGCATCGGTTTTCAAAAATTTCATCTCTATCCGTGCATACGAATGGTCACGTGGATCCAACACCCGAGTCATACCGAAACCTATGCATGTCGTTCATTCACTCTCGAAGGCGTGTTTTAATGGCTTGTCTTCTGTAAGCGGAGATGAAGTAGTTCAGAAAAAACGGGTGAAGAAAATCCATTGTGACTCTTGGAACGATCTAGGTTTCGAAAAAGGGCGATTATCACAATGTCAGAAACCTTGGTCCAGTCGAGCTACGCGCAACAACTATGATTCAGTGGTACTTGCTCTGTTCGCCGGCATTAACAATCCGCTTGCAAAAGTTTCGTCACCATGCACGACGATTGGGTTGTCAATTCATCCACTTCTCCTACCGTTTAGGTAGTTTCTGATGAGTAGTTTGTAACTGCGACATGACTGTTTGTATGTCGCAGTTACCAACTACACATCAGGAACTATATAAAGGTAGGAATTACCAACCTGACCGCGCACTGACGATGCATGGTGGCGTAAAGTTTGCAAGCCGATTGCTAACCTCAGCGACCGGAGCAGCTGACACCTAGGCCGAGCCGATAAACTCATCCGAGATATCAATATTTAGACATATCGCCAATGTAGTCGTAGATGTGCAGGGCATGTTGCAATTTACCGTATATAACCTGGAGCAGCAGTTACCCTGTCGTTCCACTAATCCAGTTAGTCTGGACGGATGTTTGGAGTAATCGGGCACTTTGCCTACGGAACTCACTGGAAGGGGCTCTTATTCCAGAGACAGTCGGGCCGTTTTTGATGGTTCCTTATTTAGAAGTTCCACTCTTACTTTTATCCTGAAGATGGAGAGTAGAAGGGGGCCCGATAAAGGAAATGCGTCTAATACCAAGGACATGATTGAGCCATCATCACAATTCACTATGTCATTAGTCCGTTTTCTATATAATTTGTTCGTCAAAAATTTCTAACGCCGTTTGGATGCTCCTGCCAACTTCAGAAACATCGGTTACCAAACGCCGATTTTTAACTTTCTCTGACCTTCACTCAGTTTGTACACCTGCATGGTTTTACAAAGTACTGCGGTTCTGTAAGTTCTCCCATAGGTGGACAAACTAGTGCACCACCCTCATTGGAAAAGCCATCCTGTTTAAAATCCAAAGGACAACATAAACAGTGGCTACTGATCAGGCGGCAGTTGACTTGTTCAGCGAGCTTGGCAATCGACTTGCAAACTCACCCGAGCTACATGCTGTGCGCAGTATATATATACATATTATATATATATATATATACATATATATAAGGATATATGAAGATAACCCCGCGACTTAATGTGTTCATACTGTGACGGTATGGGTTGCATCGGAAAATAGATTTCTATATTTGGCGTTACTGATGAACATTAAACTAGAACCGAACCGTTTTGGACTCCGCGACTTGTGCGGCTGAAGAAACGTGTGTACATCCGTTTCACCTACGTCACAGCTTGTGGTGTGGTAGCTCATGGATTACAAAATCTGACGCGTGGTACACTGTTTTTGCACTGTTTAATTGTTGCCGTAACACATTTTCTTAGAAGGCCATCGAGAGTGTGGCGCATGTGGACAAGAGTGCAAACAGATCACCACAGAAATCGAATGATCTTGCAAAGGCATAAAGCAGCTAGGACATGTACTACTTGGGTCATGCATTACATGAGAGTTAGTCTTAGACGCATTTCGTTGGGACACTTGTTTTCCAAGCTAAGCATAATATGGCATTGAGTTTTTGGCTTCATGAAGTTTCTGTAGTTTGATTTTTCCCCGTGAATTACTCTCAGGAAGGGCAATCTGATTCGGTCCCATAAAGCTTCTGGTACGCTTTAGATCCTTGGATAGTAAGACTACAGTTAATACAATGGTTCAAGTAATAAAAGTGAACAAAATCCGTGTCCGGGTAGTCCTGAATTTCGAAAGGGAAACTTCGCTTTGAGAAAATTCGCTGCGCTAGTAACACACGGTTGGGTATACGTATACGGCAAACTTCAGGTCTCCACTTTCGTGTGGTCAACAGAAAGTACACAAGTCTAAGACCTGAGGGGCACAGAAAGGATAACAAAAGGGGAGAGTTTTCCAAGCTAAGCATAATATGGCATTGAGTTTTTGGCTTCATGAAGTTTCTGTAGTTTGATTTTTCCCCGTGAATTACTCTCAGGAAGGGCAATCTGATTCGGTCCCATAAAGCTTCTGGTACGCTTTAGATCCTTGGATAGTAAGACTACAGTTAATACAATGGTTCAAGTAATAAAAGTGAACAAAATCCGTGTCCGGGTAGTCCTGAATTTCGAAAGGGAAACTTCGCTTTGAGAAAATTCGCTGCGCTAGTAACACACGGTTGGGTATACGTATACGGCAAACTTCAGGTCTCCACTTTCGTGTGGTCAATAGAAAGCACACAAGTCTAAGACCTGAGTGGCACAGCAAAATGACAATCCTCACTCCCGATAACAACGAGTGGAGAGGAATCTCAATGGTATGGTTTTCTGGGCCAACTAGCGGAGACCAGGATCGTGATTATGATTATGGCACAACTACCTAGGTCCCACAACGAGGCAAGCTGGAACAGGCCGAGAAGACGGACGACGAGAGCCGACGGGCAAGCAGATGCACTGGCACATGCAAACAACAATTTAGCAGTCTCACTGGTGGGCACGAAAACTACGAGAAGTCAAAAAGGAACGAGTGGACAAGGTAATTGAATGGATGGAAGGATTTATCAGGCGGTTCAGTTGGATCCAGCTATCGCATCATTTTCTCACTTGCAGTCTGGTGCTTCGGTTTTGGGGCTGCTCATTACAAGTTTGAAGGACGGATTCGAATGCTGCAAGCCAAAAATAATGTCTCATGTTGATCAGGGTTGTGCAGTCTTTCTGTACCTTGTATGAATGGAGGTCTAATACGAGGGTGACAGAAATGGTCAAGATTGTTTAGATGTGACTGCTGACGCTAAACAAGGGTTGTGCTGTGCACTGACGGAAAATACAGGCTTGGCAAAACCACAAAAAGAGAGAAGTGCAAAGCGGCTTTCTTGAAGCCGAGCATTTCGTCGGTGCTATCTTTACTGACTAAGGGGATTACGCAAGATGTGGCTTGCTCCGTAACACGCTGACTGACAGACTGATAGGGTGCAATTTCATCTTAGTAACATCTTACTCGGCGCCTAATTATAATTGCTAAGTAAATATTAACCGGGAGTCTAAGATCAGACATAATTCTTGAGGATCGTTTGCCAGCATACTTGTCCTCTCATTATATCATCTAACACATTCAGTCGTCCAAAAATAGCCACTAGGAGTACTGGAAGGGCGGACAACAGCAGTTGTGCAGAGTAACGACTAGTGAAGCTTTTCCATGTGGAGAAAAACCGAGACCATTTGCACGTCGGCCTATTTGAAACACGTTTATGAAGTGCGTATGTAAATCGAGGAATGACGTAGCACTGCTGTTAACCACACCTTGGGAGATAGAGGCAACAATGTTAATAAAACTTTCATGCTACTTTCACAGTATGAGTAATTTGTATAAAGTGAGAGGCCATGGATACGAACAAGCGGAATCAAGATAACCTGGTACGCAAGCACATATCTGAAGCGTGCGTAAAACTGTATTCTGCGGTCTTTTTGCAGAACGACTGTGGCTGTCCAACTTTGCACGGGCTACCAGTGGACAAAGCACTGCTGAGCGGTCGGTATCCCCTACTTACTGGCTATTCATATCCCGTGGGGTGGCAAAATAAAATCAGATATTAGGAGGAAGGATCCGGTACCGCAGATTATCAGGGCGGTGAAATTTTGTTTCGGAGTTTACCGAATGAAGGAAGGATCTTATGTATGCGAATTAGCGTTCTAACGCAATGATCTTGCAAAACCGGCAACCCAAATTTGATCTAATCTAGCCGAGCTAACTACCACTCGGTAATTGTCATTTTGTGCATTAAAAACTTTTGGCTGTGTGGTACTTGGCCAGGCACACAGAGGTGTTGCAAGTACAATGACCACACAGGTTTTCCAGGATGGCATGATTTCATGCACTTCGGTCAATTTGAGACCTTCAGCAGTCATTGGAATCAGGTCATATTTTACCATGGCACGAAGCACCCGAGTGTTTCGCTTCAGTTTATAAATTGTGCCGAATGATTCGCATTATGGGATGTCGGAATCCACCTGAATTACAAGGGGCGACTGGTGAGACAACGCGCTTCAACGGTTGGTCACAGAATAAAGAGCGCCGGATGAAGTGGAAGCCTTGATACTGGTGGAAATTTGCCACTGAGATCAGCTCCGGTTCGGAAAACTGTGCAGTGACATTCTTCGAAGGTCGAAGCTTTGACATCGAAATTTCAACCTTGTATTTAAGCACATCCCTACAGCAAAAATGTCTTTGATAGCCAAACAATTACAAGGCCACAGTAGTCTAGCTATTATCATTAAAAAAGAAATATGTATGAATACGAATGGAGTGTCAGCGTTAATTTATCGGTAGCGCTTAAGCTTTAGTCCCAATTTAACCATTTACCAAAAAAGTGGCCTCTGCTTAGCGCTTCACAATATTCAAAATGGATTTTCAAATGGGAGCTTAAATCAAGCCGACCAGGTGAGCTGTCAAGGCCACCTTCCAGGCTATAATGGTCAAGTACCGCCATTCAGAATTTTCAGATTTAACCCAGGAGATGCGCACTGCCGATGGTTCCCAGTACGGACGACGCAGCAGTGTTTGATTTTCAGCATTGGTCTGACTAGGTTATTTGATTGCATTGCTAATCCGGTACCCTTTTGTGAGTTGGGGCGGAGCAGCGCTTCTCATTGTGTGTCATACTGATCCACCAAGCACTGGTGTGCTATCTTTGACCAGGGCCGAAATGTCTACAACCGAGTTTCCCGGATAAACGAGCAAACGGGTAAAAGCCTATGCAACTTGAGCCACCAAGATTCTGTTGATGAAA